GTTTCTCTTAAAAAACTAACAGAAGAGCCTGGTGGTGGTATATGTGTTTGTAATCCCAGAACTTCTAAAATGAAACAGGGAGAGGGGGAGCCTGCTTAGGCTACATGAGACCACCTCTCAAAAGGGAAAAAATAGGTAAAAAACAGAGAGAGAAAGAAAGAAAGAAAGAAAGAAAGAAAGAAAGAAAGAAAGAAAGAAAGAAAGAAAGGAAGGAAGGAAGGAAGGAAGGAAGGAAGGAAGGAAGGAAGGAAGGAAGGAAGGAAGAAAGAAAGAAAGAAAGAAAGAAAGAAAGAAAGAAAGAAAGAAAGAAAAGCGTAAAAGGAATCAAAGAAAGGGTGAAAACCAAAGAACACAGAAGGAAAGGAACAGATGACAGAAGGTCACAAAAGGCGAGAAGCCACTGGACACAGAAACAGGGTTGGACGTTAAAACAAAAAGGGACACTGGGGGTGGGAAGAATAGAAAGGTAGGCTAAACTGTAGACTGGGTTGCCAGTGCTGGTGTATTGAAATGTTTAGCAGGATTCTTCACATCTGAAACTTTAGCTGAGAGACTTCTGTTTTGTTGACCTCAGAAATGCTGATTATAGCCCAAGATGGCCTCGAACTTACTGCTATACCCCTGTCTCAGCTTACTGAGTGCTGGGGTTATAGCGTCTGCAGAGAATTTTGGAGAGTAGCATCATCTGAGTTTAAGTGAAGTCTGTTCCAGCTTCCAGCACACATACGGTGACACACATGCGCAGACAGACATACTACACAGACATGCAGGCAAACACACTACACACATGTACAGACAGACATACTATACACGTGCAGGCAGACATACTACACACAGATTCAGGTCGACACACTACACACATGTTCAGGAAGACATACTACACACATGTGCAGACAGACATACTACACAGTTCTTTGGGTATGTCTTGGGAGTGGCAAAGCTTTTGTTGGCTTTTAATCACATGGACAGGAAAGTTGAGAAGCCATGAAAGGCAGCATTTCATACAACATGACAGTGACCCCTGGGGTACTGCCTGGGTGTGTTGGTGACATCCATATCTCTAAGGCCACAATACATGGTACCACATGAACAGGTAAACAGTTTCTCTACTCCACCCGGACTACTCAATGAATCCAGTCTTTAGTGGAGGTATCTTTTTCTCCAGTCATGCCAATGTTACTCATTGTCATTATGCAGGCCCTTAAGGGAATATCAGTCAGTATTACACCAGTACAGGTCCACATCTGTACTCTCAGAGTTTGGGAAGCTGAGGCAGGCAGGTCTCCTGAGCTTCATAGAGAATTCCAGGCCACCCTGAGCTACATAAGACAACACTGTCTCACTCATTCTTAAATACAATTAAGCAGGTGATATAATAATAATAAAATCTTATAAAAATAAAAGCTGTGCCAAGAAATACCACCTTTTCAAAGAATTAGAGCCTTTCAAAAGGTGGCTGCAAAGAGCCACTGCTGTGGCTGAGAAGAAAGTTGGCAGAGAGGGACTGAAGGTGCAGATGGGGTTCTGTGAGCCTAAACCTCTTTGTCAAAAGAAAAAAAAATAGTGAAAATGAAAAGCCCTTCAAGACAGATTGTCACGGCTTACTAGCTAAAAGTTGGAATGACCAGAGACAAACAGACATAAATGCGTTTATGATTTTTCCTCTTGTCTGCTGCTAGCATATGTCCTTTATGGGCAACCATGGCCACAGGTCAACAGCATGGATGTGGACCTCCAAGTTGTTTTACATGTGGGTCAACTACATTGCTAAATCAAAGTAGTAAGGTATAGAAGTCAAGGCAAAGAACTCTGGTTTTTATTTTAGCAGACTAACAGTGAAAACTCTCTTTTGAAAAGCAAACTGGGAACAAGCAAATTCTTCTGCAGTTACTGTTTTGCTTCAGACAGGGGGCTCACTATGTAGTCCAGGTTAGCCCTCTTCTCACAAACCGTCTGCCCCAGCCTTGTGAGTCCTGAGATGGCAGACACACACTATCACTCCCTACTTGATTTTATCCTCAATAATGTTCAAAGGTTGACATACTAGGGAAATGTATTTCAAATACATTTCTTTTCCGTAGAGTTCTTTATAGCCCAGGCTGGCCACCAGCTCATTCTGTAACCAAGGATGACCTTGAACTTCTTTTTTTTTTTTTTCGTATTTTATTTTTTTCTTATCAGTTACATTCTATTAACTATGTACCCCAGCCGTGTCCCGATCCCTCATTCCCTCCCAGTCCCTCCCTCCCTCCCTCCTCTCCACCGTGCCCCTTGCCAAGTCCGCTGATAGGGGGGACCTCCTCCCCATTCATCTGATCCTGTTTTATCAGGTATCTTCAGGACTGGCTGCAAAGCTCTCCTCTGTGGCCTAACAGGACTGCTCCTCCCTTGGGGGGTGGGGAGGCCAAAGAGCCAGCCATTGAGTTCCTGTTAGAAATAGTCCTTGTTCCCCTCACTATGGGAAACCAATTGGTTACTGAGCTACCACAGGCTACATCTGAGCAGAGGTTCTAGGTTACATTCATACATGGTCCTTGGTTGCATGTCAGTCTCAGAAAAGACCCTGTGCCCAGATATCTTTGGTCCTTGTGGAGCTCCTATCCTTTCCTCATCAGTCTAACTCCCCTTCTTTCTTATGATTCCCTGCACCCTGCCAAATGTTTGGTCACGAGTCTTTGCTTTGAAAACACCGCTAGTTATAGTCTTTCCAATGCGCTCAGTAGACTCCTGTCAATGTTCAATGCGTATCCCATCTGTCTTTCAAAACGAGGATTGATAATCTTACCCCATGTCCGCTCTGTTGATTATCTTTTTTAGGTGTATAGATTTCATTATGTTTATTATATCTTATAGGTCTATATAAGTGAGTATATACCGTGTTTGGACCTTGAACTTCTGATCCTCCTACTTCTACCTCTTGAGTGCTGGGATTTACAGGCATGCACTACAATAGTAGAGTTATATGGCCGCATACAAGGCAAGTACTCCACTTCCTGTACAGCTCCAATCTCTATATCCACTTCCTCCACCTCCACACACAGTACCTGGTATTCACAGGAGGTATCCCATCTAAGGCCTAACCAGGCCTGACCCTGCAGAGCTCTCAAGATCAGAGGAGATCAGGTATGTTCAGGATGTTACAGTTACAGATTCCATAGTTACTCTCTATGTTTAATTCTATTAACTGCCCTGTTGAGACAGATACACACTGAATTTAGCACTACTCCAAGCAGTGCTGTAACAAGGAACTACTTGGAAAGGCTGCTGGCTGGGCCCTGCTATCATGTCAAATATGGTCACCCAGCTTGCCGACTCCCATTCTTTTGGTGAGGAACCACTGGTCACCTTAGTGAGTCTAGTTCTTTAGGACAAGGTCTTGCCTGTGTTCTGATGCCCACCCGTCTCAGCTCTGACTGCGATGCTGCAATAAAAGCATTATGTAGCCAGAAGAAGGGTTTGCTCTCAGCTGTACTCCACATAACACCCGGGATTAACTGTGTCGTTTGCTCACCCCGATTCTCAGACATCACAGTTTTCTTTTGATAAAGTGGGAGCATGGACTGATTTTTCACAGTGATGGGGATACGTGAATTACAAGAATACGGAAAGCCCCGACACATAAAAGGAACTTAGATGGCAGAATTAATATTTGCTGACTTTAATTTGGGAGAAGGCAGTTCTTGACCTAAATGTTCAAAGGAGGTATAATTATTTCTCAAATCAAACGACAGCACTCATACTTGTAATTCCCTAGCCAGGGAGTGTCTGAATTGCTATTTTGAAAATAGAATCAGTAAGATACTTTGGGCCCTCTGCTCTTAAGTTTAATGACTTGGTGAAGTTTGCGATCATTTTTGAAAGTGGATAATGAGGCTTTCTCCCTACCCACCTGAAGTCAAGTTGCAAGGGATAGTCACTTGTTGCAGAGCAAATCTTTTATGAAGAAAACTTGTCAAACAATAGAAACAAACTTTCAAATTATTTATTTTTTGAGAGGAAGGACTCCTGAAAAGTACACGTGAGAAATCTTTGTTCTTACTTGAACAGGAACTGAAGCAGAGGCAAAGCCAGTTCACACTCTAGAACTGTCTCATTTAGAAGATTTCTGTTAAACTAATGAGCATGATTCTAAAGACATCAGTTCCTCCTGCTTGCAAATAAGACAGGTTCCTTCCCCGATTGCTTGGTCAAGTGGACCCAAGATGGCAAATAATTCTCTAGTCTTACTTTTATTCTTGAGCCTTAGCTACGCAACTTCATTTTCTTTTTGTTAAAGTAAGATCAGCCAATTCAGCTGTCCTGCGGATGGATGTATTCGTGTCTCAGAGCTTATGAATTAATGGCTAAGCACACATAAAGAGTTGCTTCTATCTATGGGAGGAGTTTTGTGCAAAAAATAATTTTTTGCATAAGCCTAAAACTTATGAAAGAAACAAATTTATTCTGGATTATGAATCTTTATCAGAAATATTTATAAATCATATAGGCTTAACTGTTAAGTTAATTTTAAGTATTTTTAGGTTTGGTTACAAGGAAAACAAATGACCACCCTGTTCAATTCTGATATAACTTATAAATTTCCTGGATCCGTTTGGCAGAAAAGCACCTGGACTCTTGTGCTTTTCTTGATCTGTCTTCAAAATATGCAGCTCAGAGGTTAATAAATTTATGGTTCCAAAGTACTTCGTGTGAGCATTACAATTTTCAAAAGATATTTAATCTTTACTTTGTTCAAGGACATCAGAACACTTCTTTGGAAGTAACAATTAAACCAGCATGTTAATATGTTAAATTATAATTAGGAATAATACAATCACACACCAGTTTCAGTTTCTGTAATAGTTTCAAAAACACATTGTGGCATATTTCCTTGACTCCCTCCATGCTTTTGAGGCCTACAGAAGAGGCATATTTGTTTATATCTTTCAGAAGCCAAAAGGAGCTACCACCCTGAGAGTTGTAAAAGATAATGACAAACAAGAAAAGAAACAATCTCTTACCTATTAGTAAGGTGGAGCACACAGCTGCTTGAAGCAGTTTACAGACCATGAATCTAGCCTAGACAAAGCTTTCGGGTACACTAGATATTTTCCCAGGCATATAAAGCATTTGCTGTGTACCTGGATGCCTGAAAGAGTTAGAAAGGGAGAGGCTTTTGATTGACGTAGCATTTTATAGCCCTCTTGCCATTGGTACCCTTTGGACTTTTTGAACTGACTTTACACGCTGTACTTACATGAATTACTTATTTATTTACTGATTTAACTAGCCACACATATGTTAAAAAAAAAAAAAAGAAGAAAGCAAGCTAACTTCACCTCTTAGTGGAAGTATTTTTAAAAAGTGCAACTTTGTCAGAAAACAGTTTGGCTGGCAATTCCTTTAAAAAAAATCATAGCGCACAATTAGCTTCAACCCACAATTCTACTTCTGTGCATGTATGTCAGAGACTTAACACTCATGCCTAATAAAAAGCTTTGTTAATAGGAAGCATAGCCATGAAACAAACCAGACGCTTTTCAATACTGAATGTTAAGTTGTAGTACATATGTATCATGGATTTCTGCCATCAGTAAAAAGTGTCATTTGTTGATACAGCAGTTTGGGTGAATCTCAGGGAATCAAGTGACAGTGAAATGGTTATTTCCTTTATGGTTCATTTATTTAATCTTTTTGAAAACAACAAAATTGAGGATATCCAGAACAGAATACTGGCTGTCAGAGATTAGTAATGAAGGGGTAAAGGAGGCCAATAAAAATGTGTTGGTATATCTCCCTATGTATCTGAATTGTGGTGAAGATGTGAACATAAAAAAATGTGACCAAATGAAATAGAACTGGCTACACATCACACACAAACGAGCCCATGCTGAACCAGGGAGATCTGTGAGCTAGCAGGTTATATCCACGTTCAGACTCCCACTCTGTGTTAGGAGACTGTACTCTACTTTTACAAGATGTTCCTATTGGGAAAAGCTTGGCAAATCACACATGGGACCTCTCTGAGTTACTTCTTACAAGTGTGTGCAAATGTACATATCTCAAAATAAAACTTAACTAAGAAGAAAGTGTTTAGCTGCAGGGTAATGTCTGTTTCCAACAACACAATGTAACTGTGAAACTAGCACCCCACTTTCATGTCCGCAACAATTGTTCTTTTCCCTGGTGTGATGAACTGAGTGAATTCATCATCTGATACAATTTGTTCTGGATGGCAAACTGTACATCTGTTACCCAGTCTCACCAAGAGTTGCAATCTGGAATATGCATAAAGCTGTAAAAGTGGTGAAAACAACTTTTTTTTTTTTTTTTAAGGAGGAATAATAAAGATCTTATTTCATGTACCCGTGTTGTATATGCATGTACACCTGCATGCCAGAAGAGGGCACCAGATTCCAGCACAGATGGTTATGAGCCACCATGTGGTTGCTTGAACGCCATCTCAGGACCTCTGGAGGAGCAGACAGTGCTCTTATCCACTGAGCCACCTCTCCAGCCCCTGAAAACAACTTCTTGATGGCCATCTGAATTGTGCAGAGCGTTTGAATACCTGGATCTCTGGCTGGAGTGGTGTCTCCATGAACTTGTAGATGGAAGGTGTAAAAGAATTAGATCTGAAAAGAAACATGGTAACCTTGGAAACCCTTCCCAGGTGTCTAACTATACCAGCAACTTTCCTAGCGCTGAGACCCTTGTTTAATACCCTCCTGCACAAAATTTTTTTGTGTGTGTCTCTATTTCAGAACCGTACTTTTGCTATTGTTAAGAATCGTAATGTAAATAGGTTTTCCGAGGGTCTTTGGGGGTCGTGACCCACGGGTTGAGAACCACTGATCTACACCACTCTTCCCAAGGCCCCACCCACCCCACACCTCCTAGATGCGCAGCCACACTGCGCTTCCCAGGTGCAGTTTCCACCTCTACAACCCTATGGGCCTCCTTTGCTTTGACTCTGGGGAGAGGTAAGAGATTTAGTTGTGTGCTGTGACCCGGAATCTCGGGAAAATACTTCACTTTAAAGTCACAGGACCAAAAGAAACATTATGTTTTACCCTGTCCTTACTTTTCAGTTCGTGACCTTAAAAAGGAGGCTTCTCTAGAGGAGGGGTGGGGTGCGGCTGCTTTGCCTTTTTGTTGTTGTTGTTGTTGTTGTTCTCACATAACAAGCTGCTATTTATCTCTGCTGGGTGTGGTGTAGCAGGGAAGTAGAAGATCGTAATTTGAGATGGGTGTGGTGGTGCACGCCTTTAGCCCCAGCACTCAGGAGGCAGAAATAGGCAGATTTCTGAGTCCCGGGCTAGCCTGGTCTACGGAGTGAGTTCCAGGACAGCCAGTGTTACATAGAGAAACCCTATCTTGAAAAATAGAAAGAAAAAAAAAAGATAAAGATAGTATATTGTCCTACCACAGTCGAGGGAACTCAGGCTCACAGACTTTCCCTAGCTTGTCCAAGGAGTTTTCGGAAGTTCAGGATGAATCTTCCCAGAGCAACCCAGATGCTATTCATACATATGGGTGGGAGCTGGGTAATATATCAAATGAGGTATTTTGCAGTCCGAACTGCAAACGTGGCCTGGTCAATGAATTTGGTTTCTTAGAAATGGCATAGATACAATACTTCATAGGCCAGAATATGCTTTCCCGAGAGTGAAGCCTTTCTTGGGACCCAAGTGTGACAGGGCTTCTCTTTCTAACATCTGCCTTGATGTAGTCCTAGGGCCACAGGCTTCCCTGCGTTGTGAAATTCCCCATAGCAAACCTTCTGAAGGCCATTGCTGCTTCTCCCCCCTCCCCCCTCCAGGTGTCTTCAGTGCTTCGCAGTCACCTGTCCTATAACCGTCCTTACTGAGCATTACTGAAGTTAATGGAATCAACTGATTCAAAGGTAATCAAAACCACCCTAAATCCAGCCAGGATTTTCCTGAACAGGTCTGTCAGCAGCCTTATCTGGCTGGCTGCACAAAATAAGCATCAGGCAGCAGTTTTGTTTTTATGTTGAGGTTTGGGTTTTTAAATATTTTCCTTCAGAGCTTGTCTCCTCTTGTGATCTATGAATGAAAGAAGCTAGAATCCATGAAAATTGGCAACCTTAATTCTAAAGAAACTGAAATGCTCTTTGAAATGAAATTGAAACATCTATCTTTAGGAAAAAAATAGATCAAGTAGCATGGATTAATGAAGCCCATTGCTAGGCTGTTTATAGCTTGTTTCCCACTTGAAAATCATTGCTTTTATTTGATAGGACAGACCTCATCAGCTCCCAATCTCTTGCATACCAATGATATGTAAATGTGAGGAGAGAAGAGGGTAAATAAAATCACATCCAATATCATCAAAAAAAAATATTTTTTTTTTAAGAAGAAAGACAAAGGAGAGAAAAGTTTCTTCCACTGAGGAGGAAAATGAACTTGGTGTCTGCCACCAATGACATCCACTTCATAGAATGCAAAGCACCAGTGCCATATTGTGTACATCACAAAGCCTCCAGTGCCATCAGACCCCACGGACTGCAGAGCCATCAGTGCTGTCTGATCACAAACTGCGGAGCCTTGGAGGACATAGCTCTCCTTTTTGAGGTTCTGTTGTTGAGTGAAGATGGGCATAGTACAGCCTGACTTGATTCAACTGTCTCAGCATCAGTGGATGGCGAGGGCCAGCCAGTGTTCCAGGAGAAGATGGTGAAAGGCCCCATATCACCCTGAGTTAAACAGAGTTAAACATAGCTAACGCCATGCCATTTTGTGATGTACCACAGTTCTGGGAAAAATAGTAAAGGCCGGATGGGAACTAAAAATTACTCTGAGAAATCCAGCTAAGTCACCCCCCTCAAGATATCTGCGGTCAAGGCTGCCCCAACTGAGCAAAAAACAACTTTGTCCTGACCACCCTCATGGGATATCTGACAGGTGGTCCAGCTGAGATAGGAGTCCTGGGAAAAGCAACATATGGCGGCACTAGTCAAGGTCGTCATAATTGTTTTGACCACCCAGTTCCTGGAATTCTGGTGTCCCTGCCAACCCTGATTCATGTTACGGTTTCATGTGAAAGAGCCAATCAGCTCCTTGTAACTATGCTTCTCGCTTCTGTATCAGTGCTTCTGTTCTAACCCTATAAAAAACCCAGCTTTCCACCCGGAAAGGCGCGTAAAGTCATCTGAGTGGCTTTCCGCCCGGGTACCCGTGTATCCAATAAAGCCTCTTGCTGTTTGCATCCGAACGCCTGGACTCGCTGATCCTTGGGAGGGGGTCTCTCAGACGAAAGATACCCTCAGGGGGTCTTTCAATGGAAACCTTACTAAATGTTGCACTGAATCTTGAGCCGTAGTTGCTCTGTGGAAAGCTCATTTCTGTGAAGTTAATGGAGGTATTCAGAACAGTTTTAGGGGAACAGCACTTCCTCACAGCACCTGGAAAGGGGGCTTTTGTAAACAGATTGATGCCAGGTACAGGGTCACCACAATTTGTATTCTGGGTATCGTACCACTGAGAATGAAGGGACTCTAGCTAGCCCAAGCATGCCCACCATGGCATGGCAGGCCTTCCCCTTTTTCTCTCTCTTGTAAACCATAGATTACATCCCCAAAGCTAGCCATCAAGGTCTGTTCCTTTATTTGGACACTTTCTTATATCAAACTAATTCTAAGACTGATCACCAAGGTCCTACTATCAAAATATTGAAGTCCAGCTGTCCCTGTCCCTTTTGATTATCTTAATTTAAAATGCCCAATCAAAACATAACACTGGAGCCTAGCCCATTCTAGCACAGACCTCCCTCCCTCTGTTTTTCCCTCTTGAAAATGACACCTACAAGGTGATTTGCTGCTGCTTTCCGCCTGAGTCAGAAATCAGTCACTTTACTCTTCTTCCATGCTTAATAAATGATCTCTCTACAAAAACAGGTGCTTGGATGTGGGTTGTGCCTAATCCAGCATACAGGAGGGATCACTCCACTGTGTGTGGACTCTTCCAGAGGCCGTTTCCCATCATGCCTGGAGTTGCTT